GAGGTGGGCCTGGCACAGGTATGAGGCACTTGGTCTCGTGGTGTCTGAGGAGGTGGGCCTGGCACAGGTATGAGGGGCTGTGTTCGTCAGTGTCTGCGGGGTTGGGCCTACCACAGGCATGAGGTTCTGGATTGTTCAGTGTTTGCAGAGGCTTGTATGCGACAATGGGTCTGTCAGTGTCTAAACAGGTGGCCCTGGCACAGGTATGAGGCACTGGGCCTGTAGGTGTCTGAGAAAGTGGGCTGGCACAGGAATGAGGTGCAGGGTCTGTCAGTGTCTGAAGAGGTTGGGCTGACACAGGTATGAGGCGCTGGGTCAGTCAGTGTCTGCGGTGGTGGGCCTGGCACAGGTATGAGGCGCTGTGTCTGTCAGTGTCAGAGGAGGTGGGCCCGGCACAGGTATGAGGCGCTGGGTCTCATGGTGTCTGAGAAGGTGGGCTGGCACAGGTATGAGGTGCAGGGTCTGTCAGTGTCTGAAGAGGCTGGGCTGGCACAGGTATGAGGCGCTGGGTCTATCTGTGTCTGAAGAGGTGGGCCTGGCACAGGTATGAGGCACTGTGTCTGTCAGTGTCTGCGGGGTTGGGCCTGCCACAGGCATGAGGTTCTGGATTGTTCAGTGTTTGCAGAGGCTTGTATGCGACAATGGGTCTGTCAGTGTCTAAAGAGGTGGCCCTGGCACAGGTATGAGGCGCTGGGTCTGTCGGTGTCTGAGGAGGTGGTCCTGGCACAGGTATGAGGCTCTGGGTCTGTCGGTGTCTGAGGAGGTGGTCCTGGCACAGGTATGAGGCACTGGGTCTGTCGGTGACTGAGGAGGTGGTCCTGGCACAGGTATGAGGCGCTGGGTCTGTCGGTGTCTGAGGAGGTGGTCCTGGCACAGGTATGAGGTGCAGGCTCTGTCAGTGTCTGAAGAGGTGGCCCTGGCACAGGTATGAGGCACTGGGTGTCTTGGTGTCTGAGGAGGTGGGCCTGACACAAGTATGAGGCACTAGGTCTCGTGGTGTCTGAGGAGGTCGTCCTGGCACAGGTATGAGGCACTGGGTCTGTCGGTGTCTGAGAAGGTGGGCTGGCACAGGTATGAGGTGCAGGCTCTGTCAGTGTCTGAAGAGGTGGGCCTGGCACAGGTATGAGGGGCTGTGTCTATCAGTGTCTGCGGGGTTGGGCCTGCCACAGGCATGAGGTTCTGGATTGTTCAGTGTTTGCAGAGGCTTGTATGCGACAATGGGTCTGTCAGTGTCTAAATAGGTGGCCCTGGCACAGGTATGAGGTGCTCGGTCTATCTGTGTCTGAAGAGGTGGGCCTGGCACAGGTATGAGGCACTGGGTCTCTTGGTGTCTCTGGAGTTGGGCCTGGCACAGGTATGAGGCACTGGGTCTCGTGGTGTCTGAGGAGGTGGTCCTGGCACAGGTATGAGGCACTGGGTCTATCAGTGTCTGAGAAGGTGGGCTGGCACAGGTATGAGGTGCAGGGTCTGTCGGTGTCTGAAGAGGTTGAGCTGGCACAGGTATGAGGCGCTGGGTCTGTCGGTGTCTGCAGGGTTGGGCCTGCCACAGGCATGAGGTTCTGGATTGTTCAGTGTTTGAAGAGGCTTGTATGCGGCAGTGGGTCTGTCAGTGTCTAAAGAGGTGGCCCTGGCACAGGTATGAGGCACTGGGTCTCTTGGTATCTGAGGAGGTGGGCCTGCCACAGGTATGAGGCTCTGTGTCTGTCGATGTCTGAGGAGGTGGCCTGGCACAGGTATGAGGCACTGAGTCTGTCGGTGTCTGAGGAGGTGGCCTGGCACAAGTATGAGGCACTGGGTCTCGTGGTGTCTGAGGAGGTGGGCCTGGCACAGGTATGAGGCTCTGGGTCTCTTGGTGTCTGAGGAGGTGGGCCTGGCACAGGTATGAGGCGCTGGGTCTCTTGGTGTCTGAGGAGGTGGGCCTGGCACAGGTATGAGGCGCTGGGTTTATCTGTGTTCTGAAGAGGTGGGCTGGCACAGGTATGATATGCTTGGTGTCTGTGACTGAGGTGGCAGGGCCAGCCATGGTAAGGTCTTTGGTTGAATCTTGTGGCTCTGGTCAGTCCCGTGTGTAGTTTGCCTGTTGGTGAGCCCAAAGAGTTGCCAGTGCCTGGCGTGCTGTCTTGCTTCCCTCAGGTGGGTTGGGCCTAGGCCCCCTGAGCTGTCCTTGTGGAAGAGCTTTGCTCTCAGGGGGCAAGTTTTGTGGCAGGAGGGCGGGGGGCGGGGTGTGCCAACCCTTCCTCAGCACCTTTTCCTGTCTCTCCTAGTGGGTAGGAGGACGCTACTCGCTGTGGTCCGCCATTGGACTCTCCATTGCCCTGCACGTCGGTGAGTCTGCGGGTTTCTGCCTTGGAGACAATCTAAGGTTGGGTGAGGGTCTCATGTCCTTGAACACCTTCCTGTCCCTACAGGCCACAGGCCTTTCTGCCCTTGGCTGGAACATTTTTTTCAGGTCAGGAGGGCAGGCCCGAGTTTTCTTTTGGGTTTTCAGGTTGACCTTACTCTCTGCCCCTCACAACTGCGGTCCTGTTCATATCCCATCCTAGATGGACTCAGACCCGCCTTTGCGCTCAGGGTCAACTCTGAATAGAGAGACTTTCTGCAGGCCCATGTCCTCCTGGGTCCTGTGTCCTCTAGCTCCACATCCAGCCTTTTCCCTGGTTCCAGAAGAAGCTAGGTCCACCGCCAGGAGGGCATAGGGCATGGTCATTTCCGTTGATGCTGTTTTGTGTTGCAGGATTTGACAACTTTGAGCAGCTGCTCTCAGGGGCTCACTGGATGGTAAGTGCTGAGGCCTGTGTTCTCCGCCAGGCACTGGCCAGAGACAGGTGTTTGGGCCAGCTCCCTTTCTCTCTCCCTCTCTCCTTCCCTTCTGGGCAGCTGCTTATCTCCCACTCACTTTGTTCTCATTTCAGGACCAGCACTTCCGCACGACGCCCCTGGAGAAGAACGCGCCCGTCCTGCTGGCTTTACTGGGTATCTGGTACATCAACTGCTTTGGGTGTGAGACGCAGGCCATGCTCCCCTATGACCAGTACCTGCACCGCTTTGCTGCCTACTTCCAGCAGGTACCAGCTGCCTGGCCAGGCCGGGGGTCAGTGGGGCCTTTGGGGGGCCTGGAAGGCCCAGGTGCCCAGGTTCCTGCTCCTCTAGGGACTTTCTACCCCGTTATCCTTGGGCATGGCCAAGGCCTATCTCTGCTCTCATCTCATGGTGAATCTTTGTTCGATCTGAGTGTCAGCCAAGTTTGACTACTATGGGAGGGGTGTGACTGGTTATCATGGTGGCCAGTCAGGCCCTAGTTTGGTTCAGGGCACGTGTCTCAGCTGGGTCATTTCTTTCTCAGACATCACTCTGTGTGTCTGCAGTTAGGTTGGGGCCACAGGCCAGGATGCCTATGGCTTGCACTGCCTTTGTCCCTCCAGAAAAGCAGGTTCACGCCCAGTCTCTGGTGCCTCTTTGCCCTCACAGCCCTCTGCCACTCTGGCATCTCCAGAGTCCCCGGGGACTGAGCAGCCCCTCTCCTAGTCCAAATTCTGTGCCGGGTACCTGTCCACATCTGTCCCAGCATCCCTTGGGCAGGCATAGCTGACGTTCACTGACACCTGAAGGTGGATCCTATGATTGGAGGAGGGGCCAAGGTTCCCCAAGGCCCAGAGACTAGTTGAGGTGACAGCCCTCAAAGATGTATACTCTGGACCCCAGCTGCCTCTCCCTTAAGACATCAGTTGAAGATTTTGTGACTAATTTTGTGACTAATGTGCTCTTAGGGAGGTCCTCCCCAGACCTCCATACCCACCTGCTTCTGGTTATGGGTCCTTCAGAGTGGTCTAAGCCAGAAAGCTTGTGAGCCTGTGTTCTCACAGGTGAGGGGCGATAAAAGGATCATGCCTGTGGACATCTTCACAGGGCCAGGGCAGGGTGGATATGCCTGGTGCATCTCACACAGGATTTGGGCACCGTGCTTGAAGGAGCAGGACTTGCAGGGGGAGGGCTGAGTCTCTGTCTCCATTCCAGGGTGACATGGAGTCCAATGGGAAGTACATCACCAAGTCCGGCATCCGTGTGGACCACCAGACAGGCCCCATTGTGTGGGGGGAGCCAGGAACCAATGGCCAGCATGCCTTCTACCAGCTCATCCACCAAGGTAGGGCCCATCTGGCCTGGGTGGGAGTGCTGCTGGGGAGGGGAGGGACCACCAGCAGAGACTTTGCCATGAGGCCGGTGCTCTCCTGTAGGCCATATGAGTGGCTCCCATGGGTTGGGGTAGGCACCTGGGTGACCGCTGTGCCCTTCACAGGCACCAAGATGATACCCTGTGACTTCCTCATCCCGGTCCAGACCCAGCATCCGATAAGGAAGGGTTTGCATCACAAGGTAAGAGTCCCCATCCAGCCCTTCCTCACACACTTGTAGGCTCACATTACATGCTCACATTACACTCAGACCTCTTAAGACCTGATGCATTGGTTGGCGGTTATACTAGTTTTCTATTCCTGCCGTAACAAATCACCACCAACTTAGTGGCTTGAAACAACACCCATTTATTATCTTGGTTTCTGTGGGTCCGAAGTCCAGCAGGCTCTGCTGGGTCTCTGCTCAGGTTCCCACAGGCTGAAGCTAAGGTGTCAGCAGGACCGTACCTTCCAGGAGACAATAGGGGGAAATCCTGTTCCTTGCTCATTCACATTGTTGGCAGAATTCATTTCCATGTGGTGGTAGGACTGAGGTCCAGTTTCCTTGCTGGTGGCTGGGGGTCATTCTCAGCTCCTAGAAGCTACCTTGGCTCGCGGTCCCCTCTGCCTCAGAACCTGAAGTGGTGGTTTGAGTCCCTTTCAAGCTTCAATTCTCTGCTGCCTCCTCTGTAGCATCTCTCTGCTGGACTCATTTGCCTTCCTCTCCTACTCTAAAGGGCCTGTGTGATTACATCAGGCCCACCTGAATAATCTCCGTATTTTAAGGTCTGCAACGTTAATTCTATCTGTAAAATCCCTTTGGCCTTGTAACATAACATACACAGGCTTAACTCAAGGGGCAAAGATCATGGAGCCAAGATCTTATCTACTATAGCAGCAAACGGGAAAACCATCCAACTCTTAAACCTGACACAGGCCTTGAAGAGGACTGATAGTGCCTTATCTCAGGGTACAGAGTAGCATGGGTTACTGTGGGCACAAGCTTTGGCCTCAGAGACTTGGGTTTGCATTCTGATTCTTCCCCTCTGTACTTCTGCAATTCATTGCTATTGACTTGAGGAAACTGTGGCTCAACTAGAAAAGGGATGATGCCTCGCCTCTCAGGATCTTTTTTTTTTTTTTGAGGAAGATTAGCCCTGAGCTAACTGCTGCTGCCAATCCTCCTCTTTTTGCTGAGGAAGACTGGCTCTGAGCTGACATCCGTGCCCATCTGCCTCTACTTTATATGTGGGATGCCTACCACAGCATGGCTTGCCAAGCAGTGCCATGTCCGCACCCGGGATCCAAACCAGTGAACCCTGGGCCACTGAAGCGGAATGTGCGCACTTAACCACTGCGCCACCAGGCCGGCACCCCCCTCGGGATCTTAAAAGATAGATGTCGGTCAAGTTCTTAGCAGGGCCCTTGGCAAGTGGTGCATATTCCTTAAAGGGTAGTTATCATTATACCTACTTTCCAGTGTCATCAGATGTGCCCTGCCATACACCCTTGCTCCAGCTGAGCTCTATGTGGGGTCCAGCAGTGTGACCCAGGCTGGGACCAGCCTTAACTGGGAAGTGCCGGGCAGTCTTGTCCCTCTGCCTAAAGCCCAGACAGTATTTTAAGTGTAACTGGGTATCTCTCTCGTCAGATCCTCCTGGCCAACTTCTTGGCCCAAACTGAGGCCCTGATGAGGGGGAAGTCAACAGAGGAGGCTCGGAAGGAGCTCCAGGCTGCGGGAAAGAGTCCGGAGGACATAGAGAAGCTGTTGCCACACAAGGTCAGCACTTCCCTTGAAGTGGGCTTTGGGTGGCGTCCTGGAGTTGGAAGGATAAAGGCGTGGGGGCGGGGGCTTATGGTGTGCCCGGCTCGTCCTATACAATAGGAGAGGCTGTCCTTAAAGATCTGCATATCCTAGCCCCTAGGGCAGACTGTGCTTCCCCTCTGAGGATTTGGGGTTCACGACTAACTGGGGGACATTTCCTGGGTGTTTTCTGAAGGTCTTTGAAGGAAATCGCCCAACCAACTCAATTGTGTTCACGAAGCTCACGCCATTCATTCTTGGAAGCTTGATTGGTGAGTGAGTGGGGAAGGTCCCTGCGTGGGGTGGGTTGGATTGTGCTAGTGAAGCCCTAACGTGCACCGTCTGCCACCTGTGTAGCCATGTACGAGCACAAGATCTTCGTTCAGGGTGTCATCTGGGACATCAACAGCTTTGACCAGTGGGGGTGAGTTGCTGACTCAAGGGGGAGGGAAGGGAATGCCTGTGGGTTGGCTTGTGGATTTCACTAGCAATGCTTGAACCATCCTCATACCATTCTTTCTCCTCTTCCTGGCAGAGTGGAGCTGGGAAAGCAGCTGGCTAAAAAAATTGAGCCTGAGCTTGATGGCAGCAGCGCAGTAACCTCTCACGATTCTTCCACCAATGGGCTGATCAACTTCATCAAGAAGGAGCGTGAGGCCAAAAGCCAATAAACTCATGGGTGGCTGCGGTCCCTGTTGTGACTGTCCTTTTTGTCCCTCCTCACCAGAGTCTGCACTGCTTGGTCCTGCCCAGAGCACAGTCTGGTTGCGGGCTCGGACCACAAGCCCTCTGGAGGAAGCTGGTCTGGAATTGCCACTCCTTCCATGCCCACACTCCCTCTGTTGTACAATTAGCTGAAGTGATTAAGTGCAGCTGATTTTTCTGACCCATGTTCACACTGTCCATATATCAGTTACAAAAATAAAGATGCCACAAAGGAAGTTGTAGGCTCAGCCTCTTGTTTCCTGAGATGATGCTCTATGCTGGAGTTAGAGTCCCCAGCAGGAGGAGTGATGTGCCTTGATTGAGATTGGACTGTAAGTGATGAGCAGGTCCAGAATGGAGGATGGGCCCTTGAGAAGTGGGTAGGGTGAGGCACAAATCAAAGTCACAAGGGGCACTTGGCCTCTGTAATCAAATCCCTTCTCCATCTTCTTCCACTCCTCACCTCTGTGTCTTTGGAGGAATCGTATACTTCTGTTCACTGGATAGTTTTAAAACTGCGCTGAGATTATGTCTGTTTTGGGTGAATTCCTGGCCAAGGTAAAGGGTAAGTGCCATCTCCTGGCTCAGGTAATTCTTCCCTTTTATAAGATAGACATTGAAAGAAGGATTTTTGAACAGATTCCCCTTTTATCTTCTATTCAAGACATTAAATAATATTTCTGGCCAATTAAACAGAAAAGGAATTCTATTTAAAGAGTTGATGGGCAGAACTGATGGGTAGGCGAGAGGCTGAGCTTCCAGGACCTACCCCCAGACCATGATACAGAATCCAGATGGGGAAACTGCTACCCCTTTCACAAGACCCTGCTGCCCTCGACCTTGTCATCGGGCGGCCTTCACCCCCTTCTCTCCTGGGTCGCCCACTTCTGAGTTGTGCTCTAGCTTGGTCACATGCCTTCCGCAAGACAGGGAAAGCCAGGATTCCTACTTTTTGCTCCTATAAGGGAAAGGCAAACTGTACCCACAAAGGCTCAAAGTAAGGAATGACCATACAGGTCCAAATGTCCACTTAAAGCAAAACTCAGAAATTGTTGGCACTTTTCATTTTTCTGTTGGTGAAATGGGTTTTTTTTTTAATTTCAAAAAATGAATGACCACTTCTTTCCCCACCTTTATAGAGGTGAAAGATTTCTTTTACAGCTGAGCTCTGTTGAGGCCCCTGCTAACCCACCTCCTTTCTCAATGTAGTGGATGAAAAGTGAAAGCCTTTTCCCATCAGAGGCACTTCCTCTATTACAAAAGAGGAAGCACAAAAAAGGTCTGCAGACTGAGAGGAAAATTAAAGGTGGCAAAACTTTCAGGCTAATTTAGCTCACGTGAAGGATCTCTTAGTAGTGGGACCACTGTGTTCCTCTAGGCCAGCTGCCAAGTCTCATGTCTTCCCTTATGCAGGAGAAGCTGGCACAAGACTATGGGCCTTGCAAGTCTTGAACAGTATATTAGGGTTCTCCAGAGAAACAGAACCAATAGGATATATAGAGATACATAAGAGGAGATTTATTATGAGATTTGTTTCACGTCATTATAGAGGCTGAGAAGTCCCATGATCTGCTTTCTGCAAGCTGGAGACCCGAGGAAGCCAGGGATATAATTCCTTCTGGGTCTGAAGGCCTTAAAAATGGGGGGTGGGGGGGTGGGGCAAGGGTGTAAGTGCTGGAGTCTGAAGGCCTGAGAACCAGGAGCTCTGATGACGGCAGAAGACAGGTCCCAGCTCAAGAAGAGAGAGAATTCGCCCTTCCTCAGCCTTTTTGTTCTATTCCAGCCCTCAATGGATTGGATGATTCCCACTCATACTGGGGAGGGTGATCTTTACTAGCTGTCTGATACAGATGCTAATCTCTTTCAGAGACAGCCTCACAGACACACCTAGATGTGGGCAACCCATAAAATTAACCATTACAAACAGCTTTTCAGTGCAACACCGAAGCAGCTTTCAACGTCTTCATTCTGGACTAAAATACAAATAGTATCACAACTTGATGATTTGTGTGTTTGTCAGGAGGTCCAAACCCTACAAAATCATGAAGTAAGTCAGATACTTCAAATCTTACACGTGCAAGCACTTTCTTGTTATATTGTTCCAAGGTCTCCACAAATGTCAGTGTCAAATCTGATGTTAAATTGCCTCTTGAATTTCAGAGAGTGTCAGCAATTACCATCTTGAAAATTCATCTTAAGTAATAAACCTCCACGCTGTCATCACACTTTGATCAAGAGGCTGTTACAGGCAGTGTTATGTAAACAGATGACTGGTGTTGGGGAGAGCTCCAACATTTTGGCGGATGTTTTGTTGTGTTAGCAAGAATAATAAATTTGAAGTTTATTTCTTCCTGCAATAATTTAACTTCTTTCCTTAAAATTCACCTTTTCCAGAATGTAGCCTTTGTGTCTGGATTCTTTCATTTAGCACGATGTTTTTGAAATTCACGCATGTTTTGCAACAAGCTTTATTATGGAAAATTTCAAACATAAAACTCAAATATATAATAAACTTCCATGAGCCTGACACCAACTTCAACAATTAACAACCCACGGTCAATCTTATTTTACCTGCCTCCCCTCGCCCCAATCATGTTCCAGCAAATCCCAGATAGACTAGTTCATTTATAATCATTTCAATTTCAATCATATCTCTAAAATTAAAGACTTTTTTTTTTCTTATTAACGATAATCCTATTATCCCACTTATTTCAGGTAAAGCTTTTAGGCAATACTACTTCATAGTAGATAGTGCATACTTCCTACTGCAGCGCATTAGGAGGTGCATAGCACCCGGGGCTGCCGGATTTGAGCCCACGACAGGAGCAGTCCCCTGTAGGGCTCGGGCACAGCATCCTCGGAACGGTTCCTGAGGGGGCGGAGGTGGCTCTTAGGGGCAACGGTGCGCGTGCGCAGGGAGGCGCCCCACCTCGGCTGCCGTAGTTCGCCGTTTCACGTGGGCGCCCGTCGTCATGGCGGCCGTTCGGAGGCCAGTGCTGCTCGGCCTTCGAGATGCTGCAGTGCGTGGCCGCCCCACGGGGCCTGGCGCCTGGACTGCCAGCAAGCTGGGCGGCCTTCCGGTGAGGTGGGGCGCCGGAGCGGGGGTCGGGGGGCGCCGGGGTGAGGGGGCGGGCGAGGTCCCGGGGCGCACTCTGGGTCTGAGCGCTCCTCTGCCCTCAGGACGCCCTGCCCGCCGTGGCAGCGCCGAGGCCGGTGTGCGAACGTTGCAGGCAGCCGCTCGCCCTGGTCGTGCAGGTGTACTGCCCGCTGGAAGGCTCCCCGTTTCATCGGCTCCTGCACGTGTTCGCCTGTCCCCGGCCGCGGTGCGGCAGCGGCGGCGCGCGCAGGTAGGCGCGGAAGGGGCGGAGCTGCCCGCGGGGTTCACCCGGAGGGGCGGGAGCTGGCGGCCGCCCGGCGCCCCGGCGTGGGGCTGGCCCGCCGGCGGGCGGGCGCGGGGGAGCCCTCACCGCCGTTTCTCTTTACCCCGAAGCTGGAGGGTGTTCCGCTCCCAATGCCTGCAGGTGCGAGAGAACGAGGCGCTGGACGCTCAGGTAAAGCGGTCGTGACTAGCTTGTTATGAGTTGCTGTAATTTGAGGATGTTTTCCAGAATGTCATTTGGGACAAACTTTAAGCCATGTTTTTGAGGTACGTTTGAATGGTTTTTGTTCATCCCTAAACCACAGAGTGCCGTTTCCCTGAGGTTTTGTGAGTTGTTTGTTTTAATCTACACTGAAAGTCTTGAGGCACATAGCGTATTTTTGTTTGGGAAAAAGTTTGTGTATATACATATTTGTGGTTGTGTGTCATACATGTATAGGTGTTTACAGGAAATATACTTACTGTGTATTGTATACTGTATATATACAATATATATGTATGTGTATATGTATGTAACAAACACGTTATAACAACGTGTATATATGTATGTGTATATATATATAACAAACAAGTTAAAATAAAATGAAATCTTAATTTATTGAAGCAGAAAGTCAGGCAAGTTCGTAGCTGCGGAACAAAATTCAGCCTCCCTTTGCCTGTAAATGTCACTTCGTGTTTACCCTGAGTTCTTCATATGTGCCAGGCATAGTGCTAGCAATACCAGGAATAAAAAGATGAAGACAGCGATGTCTGCCTGTGTTTGTCAGGCTTCACTTGTGCATAATAGAAAAGCTCTTTGACTTTTTAAAGCTGAGACAGACTTAGAATTAGGTTTTTACTAATTTATTGGGTAGGTTGGAGGAGGCAATTCCAGAAACAACTTCCAGAACCACACCTCGGAACTGGCCTAAGAGTTGCCGTGTTGCCTCTCGTGCAGTCAGGAAGCTGAGGTGTGGTCTGGTGAGCTGGAAGCTGCCCTGTCAGAACTATTGACAACAGAGCCTTGCTCTGCTGCCATTTACAGACTGGCTGCCTTTTGCTTCGTGGCCTCTCTTTCGACTTCGCTCTCTCTCAAATTTGTGTCTCTCTATAGTGGACCTGATTAGCTCGCTCCTGATCATGTTTGGCACCCTAGCTGCTAAGGAGTCTGGGAAATGTAGTTCTTTTCTGCCAGGTTCTGCAATGCATGCGCAACCAAAATAGCTTGGAACATTTGGTTGAATAAACCACGATGTCTGCCACACAGCCGCTGAAAGGAAAGACAATACTTGTCACCTCCAACATACTTTTGAGTAAATGAGGTCCAGGAAGTTGAATCAGAGTGCCAGGGGGAAGGGGCTGGTGTGAAGGCTCCCTTACAGCGCTCAGGAAATTGAAGGGATGAGTAGGGAATGGGTGAGATCACCCAAGTGTGCTTGAACCTCATTCACTGGATATTCTTCTAGAAGCAGGAAAATGGCCTCGCAGCTGAGGATTGGTGTGAAGGTGCAGATGACTGGGGAGGTGACGGTGAGGAGGCATCTCCACCACAGCCTACCCTGGATTTTGGAAATGATTCCAACAGTGCCAAAGACACAGACTGGACAGCCCAGCTCCAAGACCTCCACTTGCAGGATGCCGTTCCGGGTGCTGCTCCTCCTGCGCCTCCTGGGGAAGGAGTGGCTTTGCCTTCTGTGGTGCCGCAGTTCCTGCCCTACTACATCTGTGTCGTAGATGAGGATGATTACAGGGGCTTTGTCAGTCTCGATCACGCTCATAGCCTTCTGAGGGAATATCAACAGAGAGAAGGAATTGATGTGGAACAGTTGCTTTCCCAAAGGTGAGAATGTGCTGCTGAGGTTGAGAGGTGACTTGATC